TCCACACCCAGACCACATAAGACAACCGATAACACTATCTACAGAGACCAAACAAAGTCAGTTTGGACTTGTTGGAGTTAGTACGAAGTAGGTTTGCCAGTGTGACTGAGGTAATAATCATACCTCCAAACCGACTTGAAATTGTCTGTTTGTTTTTTTTTATTTCCGAAATCCATATATACATACAAGTTTAAAAAACATACATATAAAACACATTTCAAACGATAAGAAAGTAATTACATGTGTTAAGTATAGACAAACGGTTGGATAGCCCATTTCAGAACCATTTTCAAAATGGTCCTGCTGTTCCATGGGATCCGAAAGCAAAAATCATATTAATTTACATACAATATCAATTTTTATAAAAGTCATAGTAATTTACCAATACACTACCCCCCCCCCCCCCCAAATCGATCCCCCTAAACTCACCCCCGCCCCCGCCACCCTCTCGATACTGCCAACCCCTCCCGCTACCCCTTCCCAAGTCCTCCAGTGTATAATATCGACCGATTCTTAGCGATGTTATAGTGTGTCCGGTTTTTTGTTGGTCTGGCATCTTCTGTCTGTCGAGCAACCCGTGAATCGAAATTTCTCTATTTCATTTTAAGAACTCATTTCTAAAAACGAGAATGTTAATCCATCTTTTTTATTAAACAAAATTTTGAGAATGTATTCAAAATGAGAATAATGAAAGTCATACATTTTGAGCAAAGGGTTCGAGTATGAAGTGAATATGTGCATGGAGGGAGACGAATGATTAACACTTTCTTTAGCACCTTATAATGCTTAGTTGATGGAGATACTGACATATTTGGTTTATATCCTGCCAATTCTAGATAAAGGAAGCGAGTATTCTGCATCAACATGTTACATCATTACACATGTAGCGTGTTAAAGAAAAGCGATCTTAAAGATCGAATTCTTTATCATTCTCTGTCCCTTTCGTCTTTCTCTCTTTTTCCTATTTTCTCTCATATTTCTTAGTAATCGATGTGTGCGTGTGTGTGTGTGGGTGCGTGTGTGGGTGTGAATGTGTATGCGTGTGTGCGTGTGTGCGTATGGGATGGATTAAGAGGGGGCACGTCATCCAAGCACTGCTTATGAATGAGGCGTAATACAATATTGATTCGCCATGTTCATTTTCTTTCGCGCAAATCTGAAACCAGGTATATTTCAGGCCCAACAAATAGGTGAAAATGGCAAGGCAATAGGACTGCATTCTCGCAATACCCAGTACAGTTATGTAGTCAGACTTCTGAAGCCGAATATGGATTTGAATGCAAAGTCCAATTTACAGAATGCTTTCATACAATCACGCTTGAGTGTTCCTTCAGAATAGACCAAATATCATCGGTACTACAGGGAACAGGCTAATTTACACAGTAGTTCAATGTTACATTACAATAAGAAACATGGTGTTTGGAGAGCACGGTGATATATTATCATCAAGATAAAAATGTTGTGGGTGTGAATTGCGTTAAACATGGCGCTGTTTTTAGCAGCAGCAAAAGGAGACTTCCTGAAGATACAATCATTAATCGACTCGAAAGACAAGTCAGAGTATTCGGGAGGAGTTGATGTAAACTGCTCGGATGCGTCAGGCAAGACGGCCCTCCACATTGCTTCGGAAAATGGACATTTGCAAACGGTTAAATGCCTTATCCATCATGGAGCAAAAGTGAATGTGGTGGATGCTAACCTACAGACATCAGTTCACTTATGCTCAAAGGAAGGCCATCTTCATGTGGTAGAGCTGTTAGTGAACGAAGGAGCAGATATTGATTTTGGTGACAACATCGGGGTAACAGCTCTTCACATAGCATCATTCAAGGGCCATCTTGATATTGTCAAATACCTTGTTAGGAAAGGGGCACAGCTTGACAAATGTGACAAAAAAGGCAGGACACCCTTGTCTTGTGCTTCCCAAAAAGGCCATCTCCAAGTCGTGGAGTTTATTGTAAACGAAAGAGCAGGCATTGGAATTGATGATAAAGAAGGGTTTACAGCTCTTTACATTGCGTCCTTCAAGGGCCATCTTGATATTGTCAAATACCTTGTTAGGAAAGGGGCACAGCTTGACAAATGTGACAAAAACGACAGGACACCCTTGTGTTGTGCTTCCCAAAAAGGCCATCTTGAAGTCGTCGAGTTTATTGTGAACGAAGGAGCAGACATTGAAATAAGTGATAAAGACGGATTTACAGCTCTTCACATAGCATCATTCAATGGTCATCTTGATATTGTCAAATATCTTGTTAGTAAAGGGGCAGACCTGGGAAGACTTGGTAATGGTTACTGGACACCTCTACACCTTGCTTTAGACGGTGGCCATCTTGACATTGCAGATTACCTTTTGACAGAAGGAGCCAACATTAACACATGTGGTAAAGGTGGATATTCAGCTCTACATACTGCATCACAAACTGGTGATATTGATGTAGTGAAATATCTAACCAGTCAAGGAGCAGAGCTGGATAGGAGCACTGACGATGGTTGGACCACACTTACTTTGGCTTCATTTGGCGGACGCCTTGACATTGTCAAATACCTTGTTAGTAAAGGGGCTCAGCTTGACAAATGTGACAAAACCGACAGGACCCCCTTGTATTGTGCTTCTCAAGAAGGCCATTTTGAAGTCGTCCAGTATATCGTGAACGAGGGAGCAGGCATTGGAATTGGTGATAAAGATGGGTATACAGCTCTTCACATTGCATCCTTCAAGGGTCATTTTGATATTGTTAAATACCTCGTTAGTAAAGGGGCAGACCTGTGGAGACTTACTGATGATTGCTGGACACCTTCACGTCTTGCTTTTAGTGGCGGCCATTTAGGTATACATGACTTTCTTTTAAATAGAGAAGCAACAAAGATCGTTAAGCCATTTATTGGGTCTGAAGAGGACCACTATGACTACCTTCGCAGTACTTTCGGTAGTAAGGCTCTCCCTAGCTTAATGCCCCGCCCATACTCCCAACCATACGATCCATATCTTACCAGTCCACGACACAACTCTAACTCCCCGAGGGAGAGCATCAAAGAAGAGACAAAGATTATTAGTCTCGACGAGTACAGCATCAAGGTTCCACTTTCACCAGATGATGTGGACAGAGCCAAAAATATCACAGCAGAAGCATTGACCACCATTCCACCTGACTTAAAGCTGGAAAAAGACGAAGTTATCATCTCAGTTGGGCTCAAGCTATCCCCTCCTGGTCTTCACTTCAACACTCCGGTGGAAGTCACGGTCTGGCATAGCGCTATTTTCAGCAACCCAGACAAGGCAGAAATTGTGCTATACACCCGAAGGACTGGTAAGATCTTCCTTTTACCATATATCCCATATTTCCATATAAATTCCTTTCCTCTTTTTTCCCTTTCTTCGTCTAATCTTCTTTAATTCGCTCTTAGGTATATTTTGAATTGAAGGCTTATCGATATACACAAGATAAGCTTATGCTCAAAGTTGCCTTCTTCTTTGTATCGAAATTGTTGAGATGTGGTGGTCTTGTGGATACGTCACCAGACTGCAGATCACAAAATTCACGGTTCACAGCACCACTGTATCAGACAAGACATAAATCTGAATTTGACACTCTCCACGAATGTGTTAATATGGTTACCCGGCAAAGGTACGTTCCCATCATCATGCCATATTTTATTATGTTCATTACATCGTGATAGAACTTTGAACGCATCGAGACATGCGTAGATCAAGAATGCTGCACAGAGCTTGCGTAGTGCTGCACACGACTTTCACATCTGCCGCACAAAAACAGCACAGCCGGGCGCAATGGACAAAATTAAATTATAAACACTCGACTCGTATACAGGTTTGGTATTGGCTACATACATAAACCCGTCTTAATATAGATTATTTAAATTTCCCTTGAGTTGATTTCTTGAAGGCCTTTGTTACGTGTGTGATAAAAAAATAAACATTTTGACAGTAACAGTTTTAAATCTGATGTCCGTTATAAATAACGGATAAAAATAACAAGGTTAAACACCAATTACTCAATTCTGCATAATAATAATAATTTAATAATAATCCAAATCTTTAATAAGATTGCGTCCTCACTTTTAAAGGTAAAGGATTCCACTATAAATGCGGGATAAATGCTCTCTAGTGTTAAAATCAAATCAATACTAGCCAGGCTCACGAAACGCAGTCGCTTTTACTTGGTTGTTCCATTCGGCTAATATCCGCGAAATGAAATAGTCATAATCCGCTTGGCAAGATCCAATCCGCTTAAATAGTCGCAAAGAGAACTTTCCGCACAGTGCGGTCTCTGTAACAGGTCCATATCTACCACTGATTATTGGCGGTAATAAGCTAGAAATTGAACTTTTAAAGTGCGAGAGGTATCACAATAAAATGATCCATGGTAAACTTCTCATTGGTTTTAGAAACATCTCCGTCGATTAAAATAAGAGCGTATTGAATCAGTTAATATTATTTGGTCAGACAAAAGAAAAGCAGTGGGATAGGGGAAAATATGTTGTTGCTGTGCAGAGAGCCCCTGACTGCCACGACGAGCACATCAGAATTATGACAGATATCTTCTCAAAAAATTAATCTTTTCTTACTTTTCTTGGTATCATATGGCCTCACTTGGATATTAATGTTTTTCTCAGAATTTTCTGTTTTACTGAGTTTTACTTGATAACCTTCTATTAGAATAGATATTCACATAAAAGAAAATTGTTTCAGTTTTTGTGTTTGTAAAACTTATAAGTCGCAAAGGTCTGAAAAAATGTTTAATGCATGATCTTATACATAAAACAGTTTGTTAGTAGCCAATCATCAAACAGCAAGTGAATTTTTCTTGTATGACGTCGCTTATGAATAAACAATGACCCTCTATCCACAAACCTTACAAAAAAATACTTTTCTCTCTTTATTATATGAAAGTAAATCCCAGAGCATTGGCAGTTCCCTGCGTTACAAAATTAACACGGTCCCCTCTTTTTTGTGTGTGTGTCTTGTTGAAAGGGTCTGACGAATTTTCAAGGATAGTTCCTGCTTCTGACAAAGCTGCTCGGTGTGTAGTCGCAAAGAATCACCTGACTCTGTACTTGGACCATTTCTCGGAATGGTGGATTATCTCCTTAATCACGAGATACTTCATCGGTAAACGGCTCGTCTGTACGCCATACGTTCCCCTGTCAACATCCAGAGACGGCATGAACCCCATCTTGCTCGTCATTAAAGACGACTGCTACGGCATGAAAGAGGTAATTTTGTAACGAATTAACAGTCCGGTTTATTTCTGGTCCATGTTATGTTTAATGATCTTTTTTTTCCTTCTCATTTTAATCTTGCACATCTCATAGTCGTATTTGGTCATTCATTTTCAGACTTTGTCAAATCTATTTCATCATTTTGCATCTAGCTTCGTCAAAGTCAAATCAAGTTCATCATCCTTGGCTGTTAACGTAAATCTATTGCATGATTTTTTTTTTTTGTCAGTTTGCAACCAATTTCGTTAGAGCATAATTCAAATACCTTATCCTACCCCGGACAATTACCCCATAGGATAGTTGTCCGGGAGGTAGTTGTCTTAGGGGGTAGTTGTCATGTGGGTAGTTGTCCGGGGGTAGTTGACCAAGGGGGTGGTTGCCCAAGGGGTAGTTGTCCTTGCGGTAGTTGTCCCAGGGGTAGTTGACTGAGGGTGGTTATCCAGGGGGTGGATGTCCAGGGGGTAGGTAATTGCTGGAGGTTATTGCAGTACGTGCCCTCTTGAAGAACAGCATTATCTCTTATTAGTCTTTACCCCCAATTAATATCACTATTATTATTGTCACTATTTTTTTTCAATATTGATTCATATGTTCAATATTTTGCAGGATACCATACAAGAGTACAAGGCAGCCTATCCTGATGAGCCGTACTGTGTATATTGGAGACATGGACCCCTACTTGTCAGACATCTGGAAAACGAAGACGAAGTGTCAACACAGGTAAGAATCTCAATAATAATTGATACTGTTGTTTTCCCCGAAGTAAATTATCCTCCAAACAAATCGTCTGTTTCTTATTCGGCAGGGCCTAATATATATGTTGTTACATTACCAAAGACACGGGCAAGAGCTTTCTTAAAGCGACACTGAACTGATGAATATTCTGCCTAAGCGTACTGTTCATTGCGCAGCGCCACCTCATGGTCAATTTGCCAACATTTGCCAATACCTAATTGTTTCCGCTTCGCAGACAGAGGGCTGGACGCGATACTCTCAGGGAGTTACAGGCACCGAACTGTAAACGCATTTCACAGTTTTGTTGTTACGGAACCATACTGCTACAGCTGACCTCAGGTAGCGCTAGATGGAATTGTGTGGTAATGCTTTTAGTACACTGTGGCTTTCATTAACACGTTAGGCGGACCAATACATGAAATTACTTTGCAGGTTATTTATTTGAACGAACAACTTTATGCAAGATAAATTTGATCAGTAAAGCTATTTTTATCATGGTCCTGATTGAAATACACAATGAGAGTATGTAAGCAATAAATCACATTTCATATGTAGACAAAACTAAATCATGATACCAAGTTAAAGGGAGTGTATCATGGGAAATATTGGTTAATGCCATCTACGTCTTCTTTTGGACAACTGCACGTAAACGAATGGACTTGATTAACTGGGTCAGCGCACGCTAGCTTTCGCGAAACAGACTGAAGTTCTTCTCACGCTTCGGTTTCGCGCATGTTGCACGCACGTGAATGCTGCTGTCGCGTCGTCCGTAGTCGTATTATACCCGATTGGCCAGGAGTAGGGCAATGGAAAAGACACACAGTCTCATCATGACACACTCCCTTTAAGCCATGGTCCCAACCCGAGAAGTAGCCTGCTCTTCTGCCGGGCAGCGGATTTTCCCCAAACATATTCTTGAGCAGTCACGCAAAACAAGCACTCGCCAATTAATATTCAATAACACATGAGAATGTATGCTATTATCTAGATCTATTAGGAATAAATAATTGTTGAAATCATTCCACCTTTATGACCAAAACTGTATATAGAAATACAGTATACAAACGTGAGCAGCTTTTAAAGAGAGGTTACAAACAATTAGACTTTGATTATCTATTGCTTTGCCTCACCATTTATAAAGGGAAATATATGGCGGAATAATTACAGGGATTTAAACCCACAACTCTAAGATCGTAAATAAAGCCGTAAAACATATCAGCCAATCAGAAGACCGGAAATATTAGTAATAGCAAACCTGTTTTAGAAGGAAAAAAAATCGCGGCCGTATCATAATCACCAGCGCGGCGGGGCGATCGAACATAAAAACATCGCGCTCTCCCTAGACTAGTTGACTTCCGAGCAATTCTTTGGTTCCTGGGCCAAACGGCGCAAAGCAGCTGCGAAGAGACAAGGCTTTCATTTCAAATCGCGAAGAGTTGATAAACGCGACTTGCCGCAATCACGTTCGTATACTGTATTTCTATATACAGTTTTGGTCATAAAGGTGGAATGATTTCAACAATTATTTATTCCTAATAGATCTAGATAATAGCATACATTCTCATGTGTTATTGAATATTAATTGGCGAGTGCTTGTTTTGCGTGACTGCTCAAGAATGTGTATGATACTATGCTTATCATGGTTGGATCAGTGAACAAGCCGGGATGTGCCCGTTAGAATGTATAGATCCTACTGGTGTAGGTATTTATTCAATCTGTAAAGATAATGAACAATAAATAACATATTTTGAGTTATCTTGTTCATACTCTGAGTCTGACATGTTCTTAATAAATGGTTTGAAATGTACAATTCTTTTTGTGACCTGGTTCTTATTTATGTTTTCCTTATATATACATAGAAAAGAATCTACAAATGCCTGATTAATGAATAACCCATATCCTCTAAATTGCCTAAGTGTTTGAGTGTAGCAGACAATATTGCTTGTTATCAAAAACCAATTTACAAATCACCTTCATATCTTTAACTAAATCACTAACAACTCACTCACTGACACATTACCTTAAATTCCTTTACACAAAAATTGTGCTCCTAACTTCAACCTATTTTCACGTGTACATTATTTACCAAGAACTTTGACTTTTGTTTATAACTTTCCCTTTCCTTCTTGTTTTACATAATCACATTATCAACACATTATTTACATAATTATATCATTAATACAAAGAACTTACTTCTGTGGCGGGACACAAATTAACATGCTGAAAACGAGCAAATGATGACGAGCTGACAATTCCTTCCTGTCAACGTGTTGAAATGAAAGTGAGTGACAACTGAACATGCCGTACTAAAACCACCGTGAAAGAAATTGCTACGGTATCTTCAGAATGAAAAATCCAAAAAAATACGACTCTAACTGTTTGAGCTTACAAAAGTAACGGGAAAAAACGGTCTCAAAATAAATACCTTTGCAACGATTGAATTTCCTTAATAATATGAAAAACAACAATTTCATACCAAAACACTTATCAACTAGATGCCTACGTCCATAAGTCATAACTGACGGTAATGAGGATTAATGTCTCATAAAAGGGTACTAATATAGTACATCGACACGGTTTTGATCATTGGGCCTCACAGTTACTAGGCTATAGCTTTGCCACTGAATCATGACTGTATGCAGCGGGGGCTAGGGTAGGGAGCAGCCCCCACAAATAAAAACAAAAGCAAAGAAAATGCAATAAATTATCAATAACTTATTGCATTTCCCCCGGTCCCCAACAGGAAAATTTCTGTGTGTGGCCATGTCTTGAACCATAATGCATGGCCGTGCACATGAATTTTTCCTGTTTGGGACCGGGGAAATTGCAATGAATTTACGATAATTTATTGCATTTTGGGGTTGTTTGTTTTGTGTATGGGCTGCCCCCTTTGTGTGGACTGCGTACAGTCATGATTCATTGGCAAAGCAATGGCCTCGTAACTTTGAAGCCCCAGGATCAAAACCGTGTCGATCAGCTATATTAGTGCCCTTTTGTGAGGCTTTATCCTCATTACCGTCAGTTATGACTTAAAGACATGAGAATGTTTACTATTATCTAGATCTATTATGAAAAAATCATTGTCAAAATTAATCCATAAATTGGGGTAGCAAATAATATTCCACCTTCATGACCACAGTGTATGAACGCTGTTTCTGTGTTGAAGCGCTTATACGTGGTCTTGATGAGGTTATTTGGTTCTCGTTATAATATTATTTTAGGAAAAACGATTCAAACATGGGACACGTGCTATAATCTCTATAGTTTCTCTTCTTGTATATGCAAATTATTGTATGAAATCAAATCAATCAATTGAATTCATGGTATCACTTTTAAATTAGAATGTATCATGGCACAATTCCTTTAACTTCGTAGGATGTTAATTGATGGTTATCTCCGATTTTCTTAGGAACTTAAAGTACGTGCTTTCTTTGACATGACGACCAATCGGATGCCGTTCACTCTTCAGTCACGTGAACAAAATGGTATCCAGAGTTCTCGTCACGCTCATCTTGAAGCAAAGAATCACGAAGAAGATCACCTTCCCAGTACTGTTCAATGGTAATATCAAGAGCATGCATTCTTCTTTTTTTGGGGGGGGGGGGGGAGGGGGAGGGAGGGGTGGCTTAAAGACTTCCACTGGCAGTGCTGGCAGAGAAGATCGTATTTTTGTGCAGTTTTAGGAATGGTTATTTGCCTGAGCTTCGGACAAGCTGTGACAATACGTCAGATTAAACACAAACATAATATACCGCAAACATTATTTCTTTCTCTTCAGACGTTTTTAATTACTTGTGTAAGAAAGACGTCCGATTATCCGAATTTTTAAAACGCATTTTCATTGATACTGGACAAAATGTTTTTTGAATATTTGGAAAGATTATACTACTGCAGGTACCAGTATGCTAGTGCGTTTATATTGGGCCACCCATATCTCATATGTACATTATGTTTACGTGCAATGCTAAACATTTCATTTAGTGTAGCTAAAGCACCATGACAAGTGACTCCAAGTTGGAATAATTATCATTTTTAGGCTAATCGCTTCTCATCGCTTTGATTTCATGTATTCACATTGTAGATGTGCCGCGTGAGAATCCAGTTACCCAATCAACTCCGACAGGCTCTGCATCGTCCAAAGGCAAAGCTGAACCAACTGATGTTGGACGGAGATCATCCAAATGTAAGATTTAAAAACAAATATTAATACTAGTTTTTCTCTTTTTTTCATACACAAACATTTTGGTATGCAGGGCATCGTTTCACTAAACCGTCATGGGTACAAATGAAACAGGAATGTAAAATAACACGCATTCAGTGGAATTTCGGCGAGCTATGAAACAATTTCCTTATTGTAAAGAGACGATTGGAACGAAATCGAACAACTAACCATGTATTTGTGCTATTCTGATTTGATTTTGATTGACTATTGCATTTTCAGCATCTCAGCTCTCCGAAGAGCAGACAAGAAGCAAGCATCATGATCTTGAAACGAAAGGTTCAACATCAACTGAGCCTGCAGATACAAAGGGTAAGACTATGGCCTATCAGAAGCGGTTCTGGAGGAATACATGTACTAGTATAATGTTTTTTTTTTATCGGGGGGAAGCAGGGGTTGGGGCCTTCTAGCAAGCTTTTATTTGTTAACATGTGCTTCTTTTGGGGGGAAGGGGGGGGGGGGACTGTTGAACCGCTACTGCGGCCTATATTCTAACAATTAGCCTTTATTTTAAATATCCTGTAAAGTATTATTACAGTTTTTCTGAACCGTATAATATTTACTCTTTAAATTGAACAATTTCATCTCTTCGCTACATGTTTCATTATTTTATCTCAATCATGTCAATAAACTAAACTAATACATTATAATTCAAAGGGTCGACTTGCGATAGATAACGGATCAGTCAGAGTTCTTTACAGCACAGGTCGGAGTCTGGTGTAATCATTTTTTAAAACCTTTTTTACGTTGCTTTTTTTTCAGACGGAAGTAGTCATACTGATGTCTTTACAAGACCTAGGCCGTTGCCTCCATCATCGAAAGAGTCACCGCCTTGTGAACTTGCCTACCAAGTCACACATGACTACCACGTAACAGAGCCAGGAGCAATTGGTAAGGAGCTGAAAGATAATGTCGTGTTCAGGGGCGGTATTCTGAACATTGTTGTAAGTTTTGTGTTATCTTTTGTTGTATCTCTCAGAGATAACACAGCGCTAATATTGTTGTAAGTTGGTATTCTGAACATCATTTTATCCCTGTGTTATCTCTTGAAGGACCGCCTCTATCTTATCTTTTAACACTGTTGACACGACCATTTGTATGGACCCTATCGATCAAAATCTGTTTTATATAAGCATGATAAGTAGGTCAACCAATAGGAATACTTTATGCCATACTTTATCTGAAGATGCGCCTAGCGCATACTAATCTTGGGCGTAATTAGTTATTTGAGCGCTTATTACACGCGTCATCATTATGCGCTGTGGCATGTGGATCATGAAGACAGGTCACGCCTTTACTATATTGCTTAAGATGAGAGCATTGAAATCGTCATATCCTGGCATGAAATTTCTTAGAAGTTCTCATCTGTGATGTTTCCGGTCAACACACATTCTTCTTCTAAATCGTCTATTGGCACGAAGTTAGTTCTGGGCAAGAAATATTGCCCCAATTATATCACCACGAAAGATAGAACAACCCCCTACCTGTTGTAAATATTGTTGTAAATACCATGCAAGATAAGATGAGATAAAAGATACAACAATTTTCAGAATACCAATTATCTTGTCATATTATCTCTCATGCGCATATGTAAATGAGGATTAAGCGCCATTTTATTACTAATAAGCACAATTACAAGCGCACAAAAGTTTGAACGCAGGCGCGACCAAACAGATAAGAGAAAAGAAACAACAAAAGATAACACAAAAGTAATTCAACAATGTTCAGAATACCAACTTTATTTTATCTTCAAAGATACAACAACATTAGAGATAACACAGGGTTCAGAATACCTCCCCTGGGCTCTGTAACAACAAAAAAGTCAATTGTACCTCCCTAAAATTAATTTCATCTCCTCAATCTATTGTAAAGTTTAGATTAATAGTTACTGACATTTAATTTTATGTTACAAATAGTAATGAACGAAATCCTTTGACAAAACAGTAATCTATCTATGCTACACTCGACCCATGTGTAATAAGTGGGTATAGGCTCCCTGAAATAGTTGCTGGAACTTAACCGGGTTAATCATATATTAAGTACTTTGGAAGCACATATAATTGTGATATACGCTTATTTCCTTTACACTCTCTTCGGAAACTTGAACGACGTTATTGATTTACGACATCATCTTTTGGTTCGAATTTGTTTTAAGCTCCGACATCATCGACAGAGCCCGTCCATTCATTAGATTCTGCAGCAGAAGAGGCAATGGGAGTCTTAGCCCCACAAGCATCGGCGGCAAACGTTGTCCAAGAATTGGTTCCAGGACCTTTAGCAGATCGAAATATGCACCAGCGTCCTGGAAACGTCTATATCAACGTCAACAATATCAAAGTCATCAACAATTCCCAAGTAAATAATCCTCATGGAAATACTGCTGCCCCTGCCCCTGTTCCAATTGCTTGCATAGTACCTCCTAGGCTACAGCATGAGCTGCGTTGTCGGTTGAATAGAGAAAGCCCAGTTTTTGATGACTGGAGGGGTCTTGCCAATCAGCTTGAACTTCAAGACTACATACAACATCTGGAGCAGTGCAAGAATCCGACTGAAGAACTACTTGTTCTTGCTGAGAGTCAAAAGAAGATTCAGAACCTTGGGGACTTGGCCAAGGCGTTCGAACGCATGAATCGTGGGGATTGTCAAGAGCTCTGCGAGAACTATGCGTTTAAGAGAACAAAGACAGATGATGACACAGACACCAGTGATTAGGAAACAGGCTCAATGTGTTCCACATCACCCTTTAATCCAGGGTCTATGGTTCTTTAATCAGACAACCTGTGAACATAGCATTATATGGTTGTTGTAATCCACCAACTGCCTGTCATTTGGTTAAAAAAACACAATCATTAGATTTGCTCAAAAAATAAGAAGGTAAAGAAAAGGTATACTCTAAGGTTCGTATTCTCCTGATCATTTAAACCATATCTGGGGGAAATATCATGTTTAAAATAAAACTTAGATCTCAGACCAATTTCCTTTTTTCAACCACTTTTTGGACAAAAGTCTAAATCCAGCGTCGGGTTAAAATATTAGAACAATTCAGGCCCATAAAATTGACCAAACATTGATTAAAGAGGAAATATGCATGTTTGTTGGGTATATTACTTCTCAATATTGCGGAAACCAAATTCAATTTTGAGTACAATTACCTAGTATTGTGTCCACGGGTGGCCAACCTTTTAAAGCTCGCGGGCCACAGCTAATGATTGGCCTAACTTGGCGGGCCGTAGGTAGTCTTCTACCCCCCCCCCTCCCCCCTCACACACACACACACACACGCATATACACACACATTCAATACGTGTACACACCTGCAACTTTGCACACACAAACACGAGCAAACAAAAAAATCAGGCTTTTTTAGTGTGATTTATGGGGCTGCATCTCATTGAACGCGGTGTAAAGAAAGGGGACTATCCACTTTACGATTAAGATTCATGAGAAAATTCAATGGCGGGAGAAAAGGGTTGTAAGTTTCAAGCCCGGGGGGGGGGGGGGGGAGGGGGTCACTTAGATTTGGTTTGGTCGGAGATGTGCCGCTCAAGCCTCGAAACCCCTACCCATTTTAAAGGGTCGTTTAGAGGGATTTTTCTCGAAATAAGCCCCATTTTCTCACAATTTTGGGGTTTCTTTTGGAATTTTGGAAATTTTTGTCAAATAAGGGACCCATGTTTATTTTTCTGTGTGTGAAAAAGTCACCCATTAGAGCGGCACAACCCCATTTGTCTTAATCCCCCGGGGTTTAAAGACAAGTATGGAATCTCAAACATATTTCTCGGTTCACAACATTTGTATATTTACAAACGTTACTGTGTGCGGAATTACAAACTGAAATTTACATGGAGAGTGATGTTAATGTCGTTAATGTAATGTTATGAGAGGGAAAAGTTGAAGAGTTTTGTATCAACCAAGTAACGAGTCAATATGCTGTGAATGATGAAAAAAAATTATGTAATAGAGATAGTTGTGTGTAAATGTTTTACCCTATTTCATCGCTGCTATGCGGGCCGCATTTCATTTATGAGCTATTTTGTATAATTAATTTTTCAATGCTCCGCGGGCCGCACCAGAAGAGCTCGAGGGCCGCATGCGGCCCGGGGGCCGCGGGTTGGCCACCCGTGATTAGAGAGTGAATTACTCATACAGCTCAACTACTCTCATGTTTGATCTGTTGGATAAAAGTTTGTCTCATATGTTGATATATAGTGTATAGAGTATACATGTATAGAGTATAGTTACTCCACAAGGCAAACAGAAGGTTAACAATTACGTCTGCCAAAATGTAGAAACATGGTCGATTTTCATTGTCTCTTGTGATTAGTTACTTGATTACCTATAATGTCAAATTCGGTTACAACACATTTGTTGAACAAATCATGAATAAAAAATCCATGCAAATAGTCTGTATGTGTACAGCAATTATATTTCATATCATCAGTTTGTATCTTGTAAGACATTGTTAAAGTTATCTATTTTTATAGTATTGAGTGCAATGGTAAATTAATTTCTTTGTTTTTCTTTTGTTTTCTGAAGGTTACTTGTACAAAATACATTGTTGAGCTGTGCATAAGGCGTTAGGGTCGACTAGCACATATGCTATTATCCGCCCAATTTACCAACCAATATTTTCTCTTCTTGTACATATAAATATCGTTGTATGAAATGAATAGTACTTATTTGCTGTTTGTAAATAAATCAATCAATACAAAAATCTAATAAAAATAATAAACATTGACAGGATTGTAACCAGGAAAGTGATGTACATGTATATGGAAGTGAATTAACATCAACTCAAATCACATCAAATTAAATGAATTCAACATTTGAAAGTATCTAGAAGGAACCCCAGGTGTTAAATTAAATATTTTGTTTAAGATAATGAAAACAATGAGCTCCTGTGGCCAGGAGCAAGGCAAGACCAGCGATTTTATTGCCTTTCATATGGAGTATCCTTTTTTTAATGTCATTAAAAAACAAAATATATATATGAGAGAGACAAAATCTTTATAAAAAAGACAACTAAGGAAGGAAGAAATCTGCCAAATTAAAGGGGATCCCTCATAAAAATTGAACATTATTATGTTTTGCGTACTAACATACTTCTCATTCAAACGTTTATTACAAAGGGGTTCGTCTATTATGTTACCTTTATTCGACGTTTATTCTTCTTCATACTTATCAAACTGTTTATGTATACTTTATGTTCATATATATTTTTGATTGCATTCGATTAATTGAACTTTTATGTATATCATGATGATATTCGTTATAGATAGGTATGAAAGGCGTTCCTTTGTTATAAGTTCATTAATTTTGTGTGAAAGCAGAAAAATAAGAAACTCATGATTGCAAACGTTTGAATAAATCGGTCAAATAATAAAGCAGTTATGAATGTTTGAAAAATGATATCTCTCAATCTATATGCGAATCTTAAATTGGCAATTGGGTCAATGGATTGTGATGTATTCGTGGACAATTCTTTCGTTTGTTGTGTACACAAATATCAGTATTTTCTGTTTTTCTCCTTAGTCCCTTCTTCCATGGGGCACTCCTACATACAATGTTTTATGGATAGCATATTACATTATATATTTTATATAATATGTGTTTTTCTTTGTGTTTGAAATAAATTGAATCGAATTAAATTGAATATATTGTGAGAATCTCAGTTCGAAAAGAAATTACATATTTGCACACCCAATGACGTTAGAATACCAGTCATTCAAAAAGGGCATTGACTGGAACGCGGTTCTATACAGAGTGAGTCAGAAAAAATGTCCTACTTTTTAAAAGTCGTAATGTTTGAAGTATGGATATTTAATCATGGGTTTCATGATATGTCTTGATAGAGTTATCCTCCTAGTACATTTAGGCAGGCACGTAGCCACGGGGGGGGGGGGGGGGGCACGTGCCCCCCTAAAATTTCCAAATCGGTTGAATTTTTTAGACCTCTTTTTGGACGTCGATCGATTACATGTATGTGCCCCCCCCCTCCAAACATCGAACTCTGGCTACGTGCCTGCATTTAGGTACCATTTTCATTTGAATCTCTGCATGCATGGCTGAACATCAGACAATCTTTACAGGACTGCCAGATCTGCATTGAACAAAGACAGTCAGACAGACACACACACGCACACACACACGCGCATTCGCACACACGCACAAACAGCACACACCGTGCCAAATGTTTCATAATTTCCCCTTTTCTGATTAAGCAATGATTTTTATCAAGATCGCTGAATGTTTAAGTGGCATAGCCCTGACAATATTTCCCTTTAGTACAAATTCACTACCACCATCATGTCATCATCACCATCATTGTCATCATCTTAATCTTCATCATCATCATCATCATCATGAAGCACAACATCCGCCAATTCGCACCAAGAGGACACTCAACCACTCAACCTCTCGTACGAGAAGAAGAATTCCCGACAAAAAGTAACAGTTTGGGTGGGCCTTGTCTGTCTGGCAGTCTGTGTTCAAAACACTATTTTATTCCTCACCTAGCTACTTGGCGCAAGTGAGATCTGGCATTCTTGTAAAGAATGTCTGATGTTCAGTCATTCATGCTGATTTTCAAATGAAAATGGTACCTAAATGTACTGGGAGGATAACTCTATCAAGACATATCATTAAATCCACGATTAAATATTCATACTTCAACAATACAACTTTTAAAAAGTGGGACCTTTTTTTCTGACTCACTCTGTAGAGCTCTCAATGCTTCATCAGTCAAGGGTTTCATACACAAATAGTTTTGGCAGAAAGAGAATAAATTATTGCTGAGATTATTACATGTATCATGCGTGTGTGTATTTGGCAACAAAGTGAACGCTAATCAGTATACGCTCTTAGAATTAAATTGCATGTAGGTAGCTGCTGGTTGTTTTAGAGAATTACCCGATTCTTGGCAATGATTTTAAAAATCCAGCGCCACAGCTTTTGACCATTATAGGGGCAATTTACTTACAACAGATATATATTTCATACCATTAAGCATTACATATTAGGGGTGATATTCTGAAAACTTCTGAATTTAAGAATACTGAATTAAAGGTATGTAAAGGGTATTTCAACCCACAAATGAACCTTCAGCAACGACTTTCTCGGGTCCAGTACTCCAGTTTGTATACACAATTTGACATGGGAAGACCTAGGTTACTTTGTACAAATTTATAATATCTGTGGATGTTTGAGGTGATTTGAACCATGTGCTAATTACGAACTGGTCTACACATTATTCTACACAAACCGATTTAATTGTTGATCTTTATGTGTGACCAATCCTTTCTCACCTTATATCTCAATCATACAAATGAGACCGATACCAGACTACTCATTATATAAAAAGTCATCCCCCTACCCGTTTTATCCAAATTCATGCAAAAACTTTAGCCTTTTAACCCTAAGGTACCCCCAAAAAGCTCCTGTTTACATAGGACACTTGCCCATTTTCTTTTCTAATACTGTTCTTTTCCTCTCTGGGGAGTACGTCTTTTCAGGTGCGAGAAATCCCTCTTTTCACCTCTGATATTTTGCCCTTTTTAATTTTAACTCGTGCCCTTTACCCTTTTTGATAAGTGTAATTTTTCCTACGTAATAAGAACCCCTTTTTTTTTAATTGCCACTTTTCACTCTGATAAGTACCCCTTTTATTTTGACACATCCCTCTTTTCCTTTCTAATAAGTACCATATTTCCTTCGGATACTGAAGTGGCCTTTTCCTTCAACAGATTCCCCATTTCCATTCTCATAAGTCCCTTTTTTCTTCTCTGTTGAGTGTAACTTCAAAGGTGCAAGAAGTGCCATTTCACATCTGATAATTGCCTTTTTTACTTTAAAACGAGCACCTTTTTTCCTTCTAATAACTGTCCTTTTCCTTTTTGATAAGTGCCTACATTTCCCTTCTCCATAACACGCATCCCCATTTTAAGGCGACTTAGAGCCCCATTTTCTTTAATTTTTCCTAGAGCTCGCTCCCATTTATACTTGTTATAAAAATTGTTACTTATAAAAGAACTTTTAAGTCTTTCTTCATTAGATTTTGCTTAATTCTCCTCAGGGTTGTTTTTGTCTTTTTTTTAAGATGTAATTTGTCGCACTGGGATCTCACAAACCTTGAAATCGTTGCTCGCTCAAAAATTAATATACAGACCATCGCACCCTAATGTAAAGTATGTTGCTTAATTAAGCAGTTTCTTGTACCACGTAAAGAAAGAAACAGATATTGATATCATCCCTGGTAGTGTATCATAATCATGACGATGTAGGACTAGGGGTAACCAATGTCTACAAATGGGGTATGTATATTTTAATGTTTCTCTTTGTAGGTGCCCCTTCTTGTTGGTCCCCCCACTTTTTTTTTGGAAGACGCACTGCCGTCCCTGCATTATGCTACTTGCTGGCGATGCGGATTTTTTTCTGACCTCCCAATTTTGTTTGTTCATTACGCAACTGATGTTTCTTGCAATACACAATAGCTGCATATTAATCCTTGCACTAAGTAAATATCTGAAATCTTTTTTCTTTTACCTAGTTCCTTTTACATTTAAGAAAAGAAAATTACAAGAAAGGTATAGTTTGTCAAAATCCATCACTATAACAAAAATATATTCTGAACACTAATTTGGAGGACAGTGACACAACAATCACAAACCATAATATTGTTTTTGGGGAATAAAAAATAAAGGTGTTATTTAAGTAGTTGTAGTCCACCGAAGGCGATCCATGAATTAAAGAGAAGTGAAACTTGTTCTTGTAATACGTACTACGTGGGTGGGTAGGTGCGGGTGTGTGTGTATGTGTGTGTGTGTCTGTGTGTGTGCGTGTGTATGTGTGTGTGCCAGGGGCGTACGCAGGGGGGGGGTGTTTTGGGGGTTCAAACCCCCCCTTTGGTATTTTAATGTATGTAAACCCCCCTAAAAAAAACCTAAAACCCCCTAAATTATACCCACGGCTAACCTAAATAAGGTGACCTTACCCCCCCCCCCATACGTAAAAAAATGTCAAATTTTGAAATTTTGAGACCAAAAAAAAAAAAAAAAGTGTTTGGCCTCCAAAAAAAAAAAAAAAAAGTGTCCGCTTACCCCCCCCCCCCCCCCCCCCCCCACTGAGCGACTTTTCGGCCGGCGCGATTTTCAAATTTTCGGGAGCAAAATATTTTAAAACCCCCCCCTTGAAAAAATCCTGCGTACGCCCCTGGTGTGTGCAATAGTTGGGGAAGGGGGAGGGGGCACGTCACCCTAGGACTGGTTATGAATGAGGCGTAATAAAATATTGATAAGCCATGTTCTTCTTCTTTCGCGCAAATCTGAAACCAGGTTTATTTCAAGCCCCCCCCCCCCCCTCAAAAAAAAAAAAAAAAAAATACAGAGCAATGGCAATACATTGTACAATAATGTAGTCAAATTTCTAAAGCCGAATATGGATATGAATGCAAAGTCCAATTTGTGAAATCCTTTTAATTAATCACGCTTGATTGCTCCTGAGAATAGTGCAAATAGATAACGCTACTAAAGGGAACGGGTTAATTTACGCAGTAGTTCAATGTCAAACGACAATAAGTTATGATGTTTGGAGAGCACGGTTATATCATAATGAGAAAAATGCTGTGAGTGTGAATTACGTTTAACATGGCGCTGTTTTCGGCAGCAGCACAAGGAGACTTCATGAAGATACAATCATTAATTGACTCGGGAGACAAGTCAGAGAATTCGTAAGGAGTTGATGTGAACTGGTCGGATAAGTCTGGCAAGACGGCCATCCACATTGCTTCGGAAAATGGACATTTGCAAACGGATAAATGGCTTACCCATCATGGAGCAAAAGTGAATGTAATCGATGCCAACCTACAGACATCGGTTCACTTATGGTCAAAGAACGGCCATCTTTATGGGTAGATCTGTTAGTGAACGAAGGAGCAGATATTGAAATTGGTGATAAAGATGGGTTTACAGCTCTTCACATAGCATCATTCAAGGGTCATGTCGATATTGTCAAAGATCTCGTTAGTAAAGGAGAAGACCTAGGGAGACTTGCTAATGATTACTGGACACCTCTACATCTTGCTTTAGACGGTGGCCACCTTGATATAGCAGAGTATCTTTTGAAAGTAGGAGCGAACATTAACACGTGTGGTAAAGGTGGATGTACAGCTCTACATACAGTATCAAGATCTGGTAATATTGATGGAGTGAAATATCTAACTAGTCAAGGAGCAGAGCTGGATAAGAGCACTGACGATGGTTGGACCGCACTGAGTTTGGCTTCATTTCGGGGACATCTTGACATTGTCAAAGTTCTCGTTAAAGGAGGGGTAGATATTGAAAAAGCACTCACGAACGGTATGACACCCTTGTGTCTTGCAACAGAAGGAGGCCATTTGGATATTGTCGAGGTCTTACTGAACGTAGGAGCAAATATTGATAACTGTAATCGAGACAGGTTAACAGCTCTTCACATAGCATCATTCAAGGGTCATCTTGATATTGTCAAATACCTTGTAAGAAAAGGGGCACAGCTTGACAAATTGGACAAAAATGACAGGACACCCTTGTCTTGTGCTTCTCAAGAAGGCCATCTTGAAGTAGTCGAGCATATCGTGAACAAAGGAGCAGGCATTGAAATTGGTCATAAAGATGGCTTTACAGCTATTCACATGGCATCATTCAAGGGTCATCTTGATGTTGTCAAATACCTTGTAAGCAAAGGGGCACAGATTGACAAATTGGACGAAACCGACAGGACACCATTGTTTCGTGCTTCTCAAGAAGGCCATCTTGAAGTCGTCGAATATTTCGTGGACAAAGGAGCAGGCATTGGAATTGCTGATAAATACGGATTCACAGCTCTTCACGTAGCATCATTCAAGGGTCATCTTGACATTGTCAAATACCTTGTTAAAAGAGGGGCAGACCTAGGGAGACTTGCTAATGATTACGGGACGCCTCTACACCTTGCTTTAGACGAAAGTCATATCCACATTGTAGAGTACCTTTTGACAGAAGGAGCCAATATTAACGCGTGTGGTAAAGGGGGATGTACAGCACTACATGCTGCATCACAAAGTGGTAATATTGATGGAGTTAAATATCTAACCCGTCAAGGAGCAGAGCTGGATAGGAGCACAGACGATGGTTGGACCGCACTTAGTTTGGCTTCATTTGGGGGACATCTTGACATTGTCAAAGTTCTCGTGAACGAAGGGGTAGAGTTTGACAAAGCACTCAGGGGCGGGATGACACCCTTGTGTCTTGCCTCAAAAAGAGGTCATCTGGGTATTATCGAGGTCTTACTGAACGTAGGAGCAAATATTGATAACTGTAATCGAGACGGGTTAACAGCACTCCACATAGCATCATTCAAGGGTCATCTTGATATTGTCAAATACCTTGTAAGGAAAGGGGCACAGCTTGACAAATTGGACATAAATGACAGGACACCCTTGTCTTGTGCTTCTCAAGAAGGCCATCTTGAAGTAGTCGAGCATATCGTGAACAAAGGAGCAGGCATTGAAATTGGTCATAAAGATGGCTTTACAGCTATTCACATGGCATCATTCAAGGGTCATCTTGATGTTGTCAAATACCTTGTAAGCAAAGGGGCACAGATTGACAAATTGGACGAAACCGACAGGACACCATTGTTTCGTGCTTCTCAAGAAGGCCATCTTGAAGTCGTCGAATATTTCGTGGACAAAGGAGCAGGCATTGGAATTGCTGATAAATACGGATTCACAGCTCTTCACGTAGCATCATTCAAGGGTCATCTTGACATTGTCAAATACCTTGTTAAAAGAGGGGCAGACCTAGGGAGACTTGCTAATGATTACGGGACGCCTCTACACCTTGCTTTAGACGAAAGTCATATCCACATTGTAGAGTACCTTTTGACAGAAGGAGCCAATATTAACGCGTGTGGTAAAGGGGGATGTACAGCACTACATGCTGCATCACAAAGTGGTAATATTGATGGAGTTAAATATCTAACCCGTCAAGGAGCAGAGCTGGATAGGAGCACAGACGATGGTTGGACCGCACTTAGTTTGGCTTCATTTGGGGGACATCTTGACATTGTCAAAGTTCTCGTGAACGAAGGGGTAGAGTTTGACAAAGCACTCAGGGGCGGGATGACACCCTTGTGTCTTGCCTCAAAAAGAGGTCATCTGGGTATTATCGAGGTCTTACTGAACGTAGGAGCAAATATTGATAACTGTAATCGAGACGGGTCAACAGCACTCCACATAGCATCATTCAAGGGTCATCTTGATATTGTCAAATACCTTGTAAGGAAAGGGGCACAGCTTGACAAATTGGACATAAATGACAGGACACCCTTGTCTTGTGCTTCTCAAGAAGGCCATCTTGAAGTAGTCGAGCATATCGTGAACAAAGGAGCAGGCATTGAAATTGGTCATAAAGATGGCTTTACAGCTATTCACATGGCATCATTCAAGGGTCATCTTGATGTTGTCAAATACCTTGTAAGCAAAGGGGCACAGATTGACAAATTGGACGAAACCGACAGGACACCATTGTTTCGTGCTTCTCAAGAAGGCCATCTTGAAGTCGTCGAATATTTCGTGGACAAAGGAGCAGGCATTGGAATTGCTGATAAATACGGATTCACAGCTCTTCACGTAGCATCATTCAAGGGTCATCTTGACATTGTCAAATACCTTGTTAAAAGAGGGGCAGACCTAGGGAGACTTGCTAATGATTACGGGACGCCTCTACACCTTGCTTTAGACGAAAGTCATATCCACATTGTAGAGTACCTTTTGACAGAAGGAGCCAATATTAACGCGTGTGGTAAAGGGGGATGTACAGCACTACATGCTGCATCACAAAGTGGTAATATTGATGGAGTTAAATATCTAACCCGTCAAGGAGCAGAGCTGGATAGGAGCACAGACGATGGTTGGACCGCACTTAGTTTGGCTTCATTTGGGGGACATCTTGACATTGTCAAAGTTCTCGTGAACGAAGGGGTAGAGTTTGACAAAGCACTCAGGGGCGGGATGACACCCTTGTGTCTTGCCTCAAAAAGAGGTCATCTGGGTATTATCGAGGTCTTACTGAACGTAGGAGCAAATATTGATAACTGTAATCGAGACGGGTCAACAGCACTCCACATAGCATCATTCAAGGGTCATCTTGATATTGTCAAATACCTTGTAAGGAAAGGGGCACAGCTTGACAAATTGGACATAAATGACAGGACACCCTTGTCTTGTGCTTCTCAAGAAGGCCATCTTGAAGTAGTCGAGCATATCGTGAACAAAGGAGCAGGCATTGAAATTGGTCATAAAGATGGCTTTACAGCTATTCACATGGCATCATTCAAGGGTCATCTTGATGTTGTCAAATACCTTGTAAGCAAAGGGGCACAGATTGACAAATTGGACGAAACCGACAGGACACCATTGTTTCGTGCTTCTCAAGAAGGCCATCTTGAAGTCGTCGAATATTTCGTGGACAAAGGAGCAGGCATTGGAATTGCTGATAAATACGGATTCACAGCTCTTCACGTAGCATCATTCAAGGGTCATCTTGACATTGTCAAATACCTTGTTAAAAGAGGGGCAGACCTAGGGAGACTTGCTAATGATTACGGGACGCCTCTACACCTTGCTTTAGACGAAAGTCATATCCACATTGTAGAGTACCTTTTGACAGAAGGAGCCAATATTAACGCGTGTGGTAAAGGGGGATGTACAGCACTACATGCTGCATCACAAAGTGGTAATATTGATGGAGTTAAATATCTAACCCGTCAAGGAGCAGAGCTGGATAGGAGCACAGACGATGGTTGGACCGCACTTAGTTTGGCTTCATTTGGGGGACATCTTGACATTGTCAAAGTTCTCGTGAACGAAGGGGTAGAGTTTGACAAAGCACTCAGGGGCGGGATGACACCCTTGTGTCTTGCAACAAAAATAGGCCATCTGGGTATTATCGAGGTCTTACTGAACGTAGGAGCAAATATTGATAACTGTAATCGAGACGGGTTAACAGCACTCCACATAGCATCATTCAAGGGTCATCTTGATATTGTCAAATACCTTGTAAGGAAAGGGGCACATCTTGACAAATGTGACAAAACCGACAGGACACCCTTGTCTTGTGCTTCTGAAGAAGGTCATCTTGAACTCGTTGAGTATATCGTGAACAAAGGAGCAGGCATTGAAATTGCTGATAAAGATGGGTTAACAGCTCTTCACATAGCATCATTCGAGGGTCATTTTGATATTGTAAAATACCTCGTTAGTAAAGGGGCAGACCTGCGGAGACTTGCTAATGAGTACAGGACACCTTCAGGCCTTGCTCTTCAAGGCGGCCATCTGGGTATACATGACTTTCTTTTAAATATAGAAGCAACACAGATCGTTAAGCCATTCATTGGGTTTGAAGAGGACCACAATGACTATCTTTGCAGTACTATTGGTGGTGAGGCTCTCCCTAGCTTCATGCCCAACCCATACTCCTCACCATACGATCCATATCTTTCCAGTCCACGAGACAGCTCTCGCTCCTCCAGGAAGAGCAACACACAAGAGACAATGAATATTAGTCTCGACGAGTGCAGCATCAAGGTTCCACTTTCACCAGACGATGTGAACAGAGCCAAATGTATCACAGCAGAAGCATTGACAACCATTCCACCTGACTTAAAGCTGGAAAAAGATGAAGTTATCATCTCTGTTGGGCTCAAGTTATCCCCTCCTGGTCTTCAGTTTCAAACTCCGGTGGAAGTCACGGTTTCGCATAGCGCTATTTTCAGCAACCCAGACAAGGCAGAAATTGTGCTATACACCCGAAGGACTGGTAAGATCTTCCTATCACCATAGATCCCATATTTCCATATAAATTCATTTCTCTTGTTGTGACAGTGCAGAGAGCCCCTGACTGCCACGACGAACCCATCACAATTATGACAAAGATCTTCACACAAAATGGATCCTTCCCTACTATTCTTGGTATCATATGACCTCACTTCAATGTTGATATTCCTCTCAGAATGTTCTTATTCACTGAGTTTTACTTTATAAAATTCTATTAGAATAACAATTCACTTAAAGAAAAATTGTTTCAGTCTTTGTGTTTGAATAACTTATAAACCGAACAGTTTATATACAGCCGCTGTTTTCAGGATTTGTGTGGAAAGATCGAAGGGAATTATGAGAATGATTTAATGCATAAAACATTTTGTTAATAGCCAATCACCAAAAAGCAACTGACATTTTGTAATGTCATTGCTCATGAGTAAAACAATGACCCTCCAACAAGGCTCCCCAGAAAACCCGCAAAACTTGCAGAAAAATACTTGCTTTCTTTATTTGTGAAAGTAAATCCCAGAGTATGACAGTTCACTGCGTAACAAAATAAACACGGTCCCCCTTTTTGTTTTCTTGACAGAGTCTGATGAATTTGCAAGGATAGTTCCTGCTTCTGACAAAGCTGCTCGATGTGTAGTCGCAAAGAATCACCTTACTCTGTACTTAGACCATTTCTCGGAATGGTGGATTATCTCCTTAATCAGGAGATACTTCATCGGTAAACGGCTCATCTGTACGCCTTACGTTCCCCTGTCAACATACAGAGACGTGTTAAACCGCATCTATCTCGTCATTAAAGACGACTTCTGCGGCATGAAAGAGGTATATTTATCATAAATTAACGGTTCGGTATAATTTTAGCTGAAAAAGAATTTGAAGTCCATTTTAACATTTATTTAATTTAAATAAATTTTATTTGTGTCCCCGGTCTTCTAGTGGTTACGATGTCAATATTTTTGTGCGTAACGTTTTCTGAGTAGTTGGGTGCGTACACGGAGGGGTAGGGGGGAAGGAGGGGACGGGCCGGGGTGGTCACAAAAAAATATAAAACAAATCACAGATATAATATTCAAACCCGATAAACGTTTCACATCTTGAAGAGAATATTTAGTGTATTTGAGTACCTTCATTTGCTGTGGCATTATTGCAATTATTGCAACTATTATTACTATATTCTTATTACTATTATTGTCATTATTATTCTTTCAATATTGATTCATATATGTTCAACCTTTTGTAGGATACCATACGAGACTACCAGGTAGCCTTTCTTGGTGAGCAGTACTGTGTATATTGGGGAAAAGGACCCCTTTCTGTCACACATCTGGAAAACAAAGAGGAAGTGTCAAAAGAGGTAACAATCCCAATATAATTGTTACTGTTGTTTCCCCCGAAGTAAATTATCCTGACAAACAAATCGTCCGTTAACTATTCTGCAGGTCCTAATAATATATTTTTTACACTACCAAAGATATAGAGCTTTCTTAAAGCGATACCGAACTGATGAACTTTCTGCCTTAGTTTACTGTTCATTGCACAACACCATCTCATTATAATATAATTTCAGGAAACTCGGTTCAAACATGGGTCATAATTCATGTTATAACTTTTAAATTACGAAAATGGTACCGTTTCTTATAACTTCGTAGGGTATTAATTGATGGTTATCTCTGATTTTCTTAGGAACTTGAAGAATGTGCTTTCTTTGACATGACGACCCATCGGATGCCGTTCAATCTTCAACCACGTGAAAGGAAAGTATCCAGAGTTCTCGTCACTCTCATCTTGAAGCAGAAAATCACGAAGAAGATTACCTTCCCAGTACAATACAACGGTAATATCAAGAGCATAAATTCCTTTCGGGGGAGGGAGGGGGGGGGGGGGCTTAAAGACTTCCACTGGCAGTGCTGGCAGAGAAGATCGTTGTGCAGTTTCAGGAATGGTTATTTGCCTGAGCTCCGGACAAGTTGTAACAAAACGTCAGAGTAAACACAATCATAACACTCCAAAAACATTTTTTCTTCCATTTAAGATAATTTTTAATTACATGTGTAAGAAAGACGTCCGATTATCCGAATTTTTAAAACGCATTTTCATTAATACCGGACAACAAGCTATTTGGATATTTGGAAAGATTATACTACTGCTAGTACCAGTATGCTAGTGCTTATATTTCGGGCCACCCTGTACATATATATATATATATATATATATATATATATATATATCATATGTACATTATGTTTGCGTGCAGTGCTATACAGTTCATTTAGTGTAGTAAAAGCACCGTTTCAAGTGACTCCAACTTGGAATAATTATTATTTTAGGCAATCGCTTCTCATCACGTTGAAATCATGTTTTAACAATTCAGATGTGCCGCACGAGAATCCAATTGCCCAATCAACTCCGACAGGAACTGCATCGTCCAAAGGCAAAGCTGAACCAACTGATGTTGTACGGGGAACATCTAAATGTAAGATTAAAAAAATAAGTATTAATACTATTTTTCCTGTTTTTGTTTTTGTTTGTTGGTTTCATACACAAACTTTTGTGTGTGTAAAAAAATAAACGCTTTCAATGGGATGTGCTTGTTACAAGTTGAAGTTAAATTTCAAGTGTAATTTCAAGTTAATTGATACAAATCCACGAACAACAACAATACATTAGGACAAAATACATTCATCGTAACACAATACATTAGATCAGAATACACCTAAGAAACAGGTTCATGGGTGTAAGGAAATTAAAGTTGATTTAAAGTACATGAAAACATGTCCATATTTTGAGACAATTTGAACAACATCGACAAAATTACATTGTAAGGAGACACACAGAAGCTTTTAATCTTGCAATTTACTCTAATGAGTGCAAGAGGAAAAACTTGTTTGTATTTGTGCTATTCTGATTTGATTGATTATTGTATTTTCAGCATCTCAGCTCCCCGAAGAGCTGACGAGAATCGAGCATCATCTTGAAACGATAGGTTCAACATCAACTGAGCCTGCAGACACAAAGGGTAAGACTATGGCCCAAGGAGCGGTTCTAGAGAAATACATGTGTATGTTTGTGTGTTTCTTTTTTTTTGGGGGGGGGGGGAGGGGGGCAGGAGGGGGAGGAGGGTAGCAGGGGGTGGGGTCTTCTATCATTCATTTTGTGCATGTGCTTCTTATTTGGGGAAGGGGCAAAGGCATTAGAACCGCCACTGCGGTCCATATTCTTGAAATTAGTCTTTGTTTTAGATATTATTTAATGTTCAATCACTGTATTTTTATACCGTATAATTTTACTCTGTAAATTGAACTATTTCATCTTTTTGCTACATGTCCAATTTTTTTTATCTCAATCATTTCAATAACCCAAACTAATACAATATAATCCAAGTGTCAACTTGCGATAGATAACGGATCATTCAGAGTTCTTAACAACACAGGGCGAAGTCTTGTTTTAATCATTTTGAAAAAGCTTTTTGTACGATGAAAGTAGTCCTACTGAAGTCCGTACAAGGCCTAGGCCATTAACTCCATCATCGATAGAGTCACCGCCATGTGAACATGCCTACCAAGTCACAAATGACTTTGTAACATAGATAGAGACAGTTGGTAAGGAGCTGGAAGATAAAGTCGTGTTCAGGGCTCTGTACCAACACAAATGTCAATTGTACCTCAACAAAATTAAGCTTATCTCCTCAATCAATCGTAACTTTAAGGTGCAGTTTGATGTTATGTTACAGATAGTAACGAACGAAACCTTTGGCAAAACATTATTGTTAATAATTTTGCTACACTCGATCCATGTGTAATAAGTGGGCAGGCTTCCTGAAACGGTTGCTGGAACTTAACCGGGATAATAATATCTATAGCCATTTAGAAGCGCATATATTGTGATATACGTTTATTCCTTTTAAGTCCTCTACGGAAATTTGAACGATGTAATTGATTTATACGTCATAACATCTTTGTGTTCGTTTTGTTTTAAGCTTTGACGAAAGTGCCCGTCTATTCATTAGAGTCTGCAGTAGAGGGGGCGATGGGAGTCCTAGCCCCACCAGCATGGTTTAATGTGGTTTAATCATTTTCTAAAACCTTTTTTTTTTTACGTTGCTTTATTTCAGACGGAAGTAGTCCTACTGAAGTTCTTACAAGACCTAGCCCTTTGATTTCACCAGCAGAGTCACTGTCACGGGAACATGCCTACCGAGTCACACATGATTTTGTAACGGAGACAGTAGCCTCACCAGCGTGTGCGGCAAACATTGTCCAAAAATTGGTTCCAGGACTTTCAGCCGACCAAATGCACCCGCGTTCTGGGGACGTCTATAATATTATGGTTATCAACAATCCCAAAGAAAAAGATTCTGAAGGAAATACTGTTGCCCCTGCCCCTGTTGCAATTGCTTCCATAGTACCTCCTAGGCTACTGCATGAGCTGCGTTGCCGGTTGAACAGAGAAAGCCCAGTTTTTGGTGACTGGAGGGGTCTTGCCAGTGAGCTGGGACTTGGAGACTACATTCAATCACTGGAGCAGTGCAAGAATCCGACTGAAGAACTACTCGTTCTTGCTGAGAGTCAAAATAAGATCCAGAACCTTGGGGACTTGGCTAAGGCGTTCGAACGCATGAATCGTGGGGATTGTCAAGAGCTCTGCGAGAACTATGCGTTTGAGAGAACAAAGTCAGCTGATCCTCGGAATGATCAAATAGAAGATGATGACACAGACACCAGTGATTAGGGAACAGGCTCAATGTGTTCCATATCACCATTTAATCCAGGGTCTATGGCTCGTTATTTGGACAACGTTATGAGCATAGCACTATACGTACGGTTGTTGTAATCCAACAAGTACCTGTCTTTTGGTTTAAAAAAAAAATCAAAATCAATAGATTTGCTCGAAACATAATAAAGGTATACTCTAATTCATTTAAGCCTTATCCTAAACTTAGTTCTTAGACCAATTTTCTTTTTTAACCCAATTTTTGGACAAAAGTCACAATCCAGCGTCCGGTTTAAATATTA